ATCCCTCCTCTTCATTCTTCATACCTTTGTTCTCTGAGCAGCATGACCATATCTGAGCAATTTTAGCAATTTATACTGGAGCCGCGTACGTTTTAGTGGCACACACTAGTGAAATACCTTTTGCAGATCATTAAACAGATGTTTATTAGTGAATTGTTTCAACTGTGACAAGACAAGAGCATTACTTTAAAATTAATAAAAGGAATGGAACATATCAGCTATGAAGAAAGGTTAACAAATTTAAACCTATTTAGTTTAGAAAAACGTCACCTGAGAGGGGATATGATAACATTATACAAATATATTCGGGGCCAATACAAACCATTGTGTGGAAATCTATTCACAAACCGGACTTTACATAGGACATGGGGTCATGTGTTTAGACTGGAAGAAAGAAGATTTCGTCTAAGGCAAAGGAAAGGTTTTTTTACTGTAAGAACAATAATGATGTGGAATTCTCTGCCTGAAGAAGTGATTTTTATCAGAGTCCATATAGACGTTCAAACAGCTACTAGATGCATGCTTGCAAAATCAGAATATTCAAGGATATAATCTTTCAATGTAGGATAATAATTGCAAGTAGTTATTATCCTACATTGAAAGATTATATCCTTGAATAAACTAAATAGGATAAATCTGACTGCCATTCTAAGTTCAAGAAGGAATTTTTTCCTAGCTTGTTGCAAAATTGGAAGTGCTTCAAACCATCGCAAGACTCTCCTGCGTGCTGTGCGGAGCGTTGCCATGGATTACCATGGCAACGCTCCGCGCAGCAAGCAGGCGAATCTCGTGAGAGTTAGAGCTGGAGAGAGAAAACAGATTGTGCTGGGCCCCCGGGTGCAACGGCTGGCTCCCTCCACCATACCACCGGACCACCAGGTGATCTCCCCCTTCCCTGACAAGGTAAGAATCAGGGAGGGGGGAATAAAATAAAATATAAACACATATCTTGAAAAAAAAATGCTCCCCCCCAACACACACACATCAGCACACACACACACATCATCCAACACACACATCATCCAGCACACACACACTACATTCATTATACACAATCTGCACTTACTACAAACACACTACATTCACTATACTTACTCTGCACTCACTACACACACTGCATTCATTATACACTCTCTGCACTCACTACAAACATTCTGCACTCACTACACACACTACATTCATTATACACACTCTGCACTTACTACAAACACACTACATTCACTATACACATTCTGCACTCACTACAAACACACTACATTCACTATACTTACTCTGCACTCACTACACACACTACATTCATTATACACACTGCACTTACTACAAACACACTACTTTCACTATACACACACACTCTGCACTCACTACACACACTACATTCACTACACACACTGCATTCATTATACACACTCTGCAGTCACTACAAACACTACATACACTATACACACTCTGCACTCACTACAAACACTACATTCATTATATACACTCTGCATTCACTACAAACACAGTACATTTATTATACACACTGCACTCACTACAAACACACTACATTCATTATACACACTCTGCACTCACGACAAACACACTACATTCATTATACACACTTTATGCATAGAAGTGTAATTTTTTTGAGGGGGGGGGAGGGAGAGGAAATCTTGTGGGTGAGTTTCCACAGACACATACATAGACACACATACATGCAGACACACAGACACACATACATAGACACAGACACACAGACACATACATACAGATACATACATACAGACACAGGGCCGGACTGGGGATACAAAGCAGCCCTGAAAAAAAAATCTATGCCAGCCCCATAAGTCATTGCGACATATATTGTCGTATGTAATATGTAAGGCTATGTCTTGCCAACCCAGATAATTGTGCAATATATATATATATATATATATATATATATACCTACATTCAGGGCCTCCACGCTCTGGAGGCGCTGAACGTTCCCCATAAAGATACTTTGATTCAATGCATCTCTTTGAGGAGATGCTGATTGGTGTAGCGTTTTGCAAGCTTGATGATCTCAGCCATAGAGGCAGGGCCAGTCAAGGGAAGACCAGCACGGAGGGGGGGAAAAAAAGGTGAGTAAAAACGCATGTAGCGGAACGCCAATATTAATCCACGAATTCCGCTGGTCCAGAAACGAATCCACAGTCAAGCGCTGAAAACACCAAGGCAATATCCCCAACCTCCCAATAACCGGACGAGACACAGTTTTGGGAGTCAACTGACAATCCTTTAATCGGCACGACAATTTATGCAAGTCCCCATGCAAGGGGTTTCCTGAGTCCCTTCCCAGGGGCATTCCCAGAGGGGACTACATGGGGGACTTACAGTATAACATATTTCTCCCATCAGGCACTGCTGCACGAGAGGGATCATCCTCCCAGAATGCACCGCTAAGGGGATTATCCCCTCGTGCAGCAGAACCGGCAATTCATATAAAAATACATAACTTTTAAAATACACAGTGGATTTACACGAATGGATGTTCGGTAGTTAGCTGGGGTCTGGGCGCATCATTCGTGAGATTGCCGCTCAGATCCCAGCCAAAATAACCGAACGCCGCACAGAAAACACATTTCTTTCAAAACCCACAAAAGGAACCGATTGCTTTTGGTGAACCTGGTCCTGAAACTCCCGAACGTCTAGGAGGCTCAGCGGTGTTCGTGCCGTCGAATAACTATTGGTAATGTTATGCGTTCGACGACACGGACCCGCTGAGGAACAAGGGATCCAAGATGGCCGACAGCCGCATGGTCGGTAGTCGAACGACGGCCACCCAGGAGAGCCTCTAATAACCGATTGCAACAATGTTGGAATCGGTTAACTAGCGCCACACGCCTCTAAGTGTGTGGGCTATTAGGGGGTATCGCGTTCGGTTCACGAACGGCTTTCTAAAGTGCCGTTCGTGAAACGAAAGAAAACCCCCATACAAAACCGCCATTTGCATTCGGCGGAAACAGCAGTACAGGCAATACAGAGAATACATTAGCATCTACATAAGTGTAAAGCGCATATCTCGCCCGACCCATTGGCAACCCTTAAAGGCACAGTCTCTAGTTAATGTCCAAGTGGCCAGGTTTGCCACAACGCAATTTTTAAACACACACAGACACCATGACAGACACAGAAACACACATATAACATAACAGACACACACCCCATGACACACATATACCATGACACCAGGCCCAGACTGGCCATCGGGCACACCGGGCAAATGCCGGTGGGCCGCGGTGGCCGTGGGCCGAGGCCGGCAGGGAGATCACAGGATCTCCCTGCCGGTCTTTGCAGGGCCGGCACTATCCGAGCGCCGGCCCTGCAGTAGTCTACAGCGGGCCGGTGGGGAGATCAAAGATCTCCCTCACCGGCCCACATGCAGGATATTGCGGCCGCCGGCGGGGAGAGAGGAAGGGAGCCAGCCTGCCAGCAGAGGAACCCGGAGGAGCTCTAACTTACAGCTCCGCCGGGTTCCTCTCGTGAGATTCGGAGCGTTGCCATGGCAACGCTCCGGGTCCCGCGAGAGTGAACTCTAGCCCAACAGGCTAGAGTTCACTCACCACAAGGACCACCAGGGATGGATGGCAGCCCCAGCAGCAGGATCCCCCCTCCCAGGCTAAAGGTAAGCAGGGAGGGGGGAAATAATCACTCAGGTCACAGCAGCCTCACAGATACCCTGCACCCCTAACACTCACAGCACACACGCACAAACTGCACCCCTAACACTCACAGCACACACACACACACCCACTGCACCCTAACACTCCCAGCACACACACACACACACACACACACACACACACTGCACCCTAACACTCACAGCACACACACACACACACTACCCTAACACTCCCAACACACACAAACACACACACTGCACCCCTAACACTCCCCAGCACACACACCTGCACCCCTAACACTCCCAGCACACACACACACACACACACACACACTGCAACCCTAACACTCCCCAACACACACACACACACTGCACCCCTGACACTCACAGCACCCTCACTCACACACACTGCAACCCTAACACTCACAGCACACACGCTGCACCCCTGACACTCACAGCACACTCACACACACACACTGCACCCCTAACACTCACAGCACACACACTGCACCCCTAACACTCACAGCACACACACTGCACCCCTAACACTCCCAGCACCCTCACTCACACACACACTGCACCCCTGACACTCCCAGCACACACACTGCACCCCTAACACTCACAGCACACACACTGCACCCCTAACACTCCCAGCACCCTCACTCACACACACTGCACCCGACACTCCCAGCACCCTCACTCACACACACTGCACCCCTGACACTCACACACACACACTTCACCCCTGACACTCACAGCACCCTCACACACACTGCACGTCTGACCCTCACAGCACACACAAAATGCACCCCTAACACTCACAGCACCATCACACACACACACACTGCACCCCTAATACTCACAGCACACACACTGCACCCCTAACACTCACAGCACACACACTGCACCCGACATGCACAGCGCACACACTGCACCCCTGACACTCACAGCACCCTCACACACACACTGCACGTCTGACACAGCACAAACAAAATGCACCCCTAACACTCAGAGCACCCTCACACACACACACTGCACCCCTGACACACACAGCACACACACTGCACCCCTGACACTCTCAGCACCCTCACACACACACTGCACCCCTGACACTCTCAGCACCCTCACACACAAAATGCACCCCTGACACACACAGCACGCACACACACACACTGCAACCCTGACACTAACAGCACACACAAAATGCACCCCTAACACTCTCAGCACCCTCACAAACACACACTGCACCCCTGACATGCACAGCACACACACTGCACCCCTGACACTCACAGCACCCACACACACTGCACCCCTGACACTCACAGCACCCTCACTCACATACTGCACGTCTGGCACTCACAGCACACAAAATGCACCCCTAACACTCACAGCACCCTCACACACACACACTGCACCCCTGGCACACACATCACACACCCTCACTCACACAAATGCACCTCTGACACTCACAGCTTCCTCACATGCATACACTGCACCCTCACACACAGCTTCCTCACATGCACATAGCACCCTCATGCAAACACAGCACCCACTCACACACAGCACACACACACTGCACCCATCACACACACAGCACCCTTACCCACATAGCACCCTCACGCAAACACAGCACCCATCACTCACACACACACTGCACCCCTCTCTCACACACACTACACCTCTTACACACACACACACACACACAGAGCACCCTCACACACACTGCGCAATATGCTTACCTGGCATTTTTGTCTCCTGGTATCCCAACTATGGAGACACCAGAGACAAATTTCAAGCAAACACAGTGCATGTTATAAAATTTGCTTGCGCTGTGCAGAACAAATACAGGGTATTTTTCTCATGCCAGAGCTCTTCAGCAGAGCTCTGCGCATGGTCTACCCTGGAAGAGCACTGAACCAACATGCTCACTTTGTGATGGGGCATGCTTGTCATTGGTGATGACAAAACACACTATCTGGCCCCGCCCCCTTTTTAGTGGGCCACTGTAATTAAAAAATGCCCGGGCTGAATTTTCTTCCCAGTCCGGCCCTGCTCCCGCTGTATTCCCGGCCAATGCGTGTGTGAGATGTGTCAGGTTCCCGGCGCCCCTGTTGCTATGGCACCCTGTGCAGCTTCACAGCTCACACAACTCCAAGTCTGGCCAGTCCTGGTGGCACCACCCTACCTG